ATGTCGTTTTCATCCATGAGAGGGACAAGCATCGAAGCACATTATTATTCAAAGATAAAAAGAGAGAAAGAGAGCGATAGGGATGAGACATCAAGGCGCATCATCCTTCAAAGAGAGAGGAAAAAAGAGAGAGAGATGAAGGAAGAATATCGAGAAAGGAGAGGACAAATTCCGACAGAGGAAGTTCGGCGTGGCCGCCGTACACTCATACCAAAAGATAAAGATCCGCAATAACAAGGGCGCATTCGCCGTGAATTCCAGTATGGCCCCGGGCCAATTAACCATTCAACTCCCACCATCCATCCTCATACCCGCACCGACGATCCCGACCGTCGCGTGCTAACTCCCACCTCTGCGATCGTCACCCCGCCGACGCAAGCTCGACGCAGGTCACCCAGATCCCACAGTCTGTCGTGGCGATCCAGCGCACAGCCGGTCAGCGTGTCATCAGCCCGACAGGACTTTTCGACTCGCACCAAACACTCTACTTGGCCCCTGCTTCCTGGAAGTTGGCTTGAGAGTTGAGAAAGTAAGAGAGATTTGCGGGCGTGTTTGCGAAATTTATAGTGGCGAGAGGGAAGACAAGGGAGAGAGAAGGCAGGGGGAAAGTCGAAGTGTAAAGAGAGAAGCAGGAAGAGAAGACTTGGCGAGAAGTGCACTGTAGAAGCCATGTTGACCCTTCGGAACTCCGCGATTGGCCAATCAGATTCGTTGTGCAATAGGCAGAGCTTATCGTACCACGCGCCTGATTGGTGGGTGAGAGTGATCGAAGGATCAGTCGGACTTAGCGAGCTTCGCTCGAAAGGCGGGGGAGGGGAAAGGCCCGAGAAGTAGCGCAAGACGGGTCCAAGATTCAATCGATCGAGAAAGGGAAATGGGCGCGCGAAGATTCAGAGCGGGAGAGAGAGGGAGGAGGAGGAAAACAGTTACGAGGGTGACGCCCAACCTCACGCCCAGCGCGACTTCCTGATCGGAGTGGGATGTGGGCCTGGAAGTGCGAAAAGGGGTGTGCTAAGGATTTTTGGGGAAAGTGAGGGAGTCTTAAGGGTATGAATGCAATTAGGCGAGTCAGGGGTGCGTGCGCCAGGGACTCATGGTCTGGTGGGGCCGGGGCACTGTGGGTGACGGGCTACGGGGAAATCCCTCCGTGGTGGGGGTGGTCCTGAAAAGTTAGGCTGTCGGGGGCCGCCACGTGGCGCAGGTCGCCGCGCGCCCGGGTTGGGCCTTCGGAATTCCGAAGTTCTCTGTCCGCCGCTACGTCGGAAGTTCACGCAAAACATATTGGGCCAGTAGGGGGCTATGGCGGGCCACGGGATGATACTGAGTTGATGATATGGGAGAAGGAGGCGGAAAGGAGGGAAACTGGTGGTGATCTCAACGAATCCTGGGAGGGTGAAGTAGTATGTGTGGTCGGGAGAGGGGAAATCGGAGCACCGAGGGTCACTAGTGGTGGCACAGTGGAATTCTCGCGGACATAGCCGATTCTCCGTGTGACAAGGGTATCGGGTCCTTATGAGCTCGTTTATTATAGGGGTGAAATGGTCCGGGTCAGAAGACGAATCTGAGCCCCAAGATCGCGTCATGGTATCATCGTCGACGGGATAATGCGGGTCGGGATATCGTCACCACGCACGGGCACGTGTAGGACAGGCAGACTCAGTAGCGCCTCAGCATGCTCGTATGGGCTGATGGTTCCGCTGTGATTCCTTTGAGCGAATCGTCGCACGGGAATGCGTGTAAGGGCGCGACTCGGATCGCGTTTACACATGTTCTCCGCGCGGGACCAGACTTGGGATCGCCGATTATGCAAGATGCAATCATATCGCAACCCCCATTGCGGGATGAGCAAAACCGAGAGCAAAATCACTATCGGGGCCAGATTATTATCCCATCTACAGCGACATCAGGTGTAGGCAAAGATTTTGACACATACATAACGCAAGGACAGGGATTCTCAGCAAAAAGATAGACAAGCAGTCATAATATCCGTACATGTATACATTGGACAATCATACACACAATGCAAGCAGGTCGGACATCGCAAGGACAAATGTGAGCAAAAACCCAAGCCCAGGTTCCAGAAAGCCGAAATGAAAATAAGAACGGGCAAACCACCCGGAGCCGCAATCAAAATGTATGTACACAGATGAAAGGGGGGGAAGAGACAAAGAAACAACAAATCCACGTCCATCGACCTCAACTCTCTCTTCCTCTCTCTCTCTCTCTCCGATGCGGACAGTCCGTCGTCATGCACCCACCCACGAAGTTGTCACCCCGCTTAGTCCTCCTGCACCCGTCGGATTCGCCCATGCCCACAGTCTGTCGTGGCCCACGTCAATCCCGCGCGTTCGGGACCAGCCCGTCGGGTCGCCCAACTCCTACTCTACTCACCTCTTACTTAGCTCGTGTGCCGACCCTTCCTGATCGCGTAACCCCGAACTTCCAACAACAGGTTAAGAGAGTTGACTAATCGTGCATCCGAAATTTATAGTGTGCATGTATGCGGGAAGGACACGGAATTACCTGAACTTAGAGTGGGGATTAGAGAGGGAGCGTCGACGTTCTGCATGATCGGCCGCGGCGTACGGGACGCAACCCCTCTCCACGCATCGATCCGAGCATGCAAGTCGCGGCTTACAAATTCCAGCAAAAGAAAGAAAGAGAGGAAGGGAGAGACGAAATGCAAGAAGAGAGATATAGTTACAATGGCGCTCGCCCAAAATTACAGTTACACATACGATTAAGGGCGCCCACTAATCAGAGTTCCGTTGCAGCCGCGCGAAGAAGCGCGTGAACAAAAAGCGTCGCGCGGCTGGAAAAATCCTAATTCCTAAATTCCTATCTGATGCGAAAAAGCAAAAAAACACAAATTCCAGAAGGGAAGTCTGAAATTTCGAGAGCCATCGGGCTCGACAAAATTCAAAAAGGTTTTAAAGGAAAAATTCAAAAAGAGCTCAGCAATTTTCCCGCGCGATGTCCGTGCCCGAAAGATCGAAACCGAAACGAAAGAAACGACGTCAACATTTATTAATCGCACGCGAGGTGGCACGCCAGACATCCATCCGACCAATTACTCATCCGGCCGTTCCAAGATACACCCAGCCCCGAAGAAGCGACGAAAAAGACGAAGAAGCAAGGGTACTGATGCAATTTTCCACCGATCCCGGTTTCCCGTAATTGGTCCAATCTTCCCACCTTAGGAGCCCTCGTTGCAACCGCGCAGAAACTCGTGCGTTACAGAAAGTGGTTCGTCACATATGTGACGTCCAGGGGATTCCCATATTAGCAAGCTCCTGCTTGCTTATTGACACGTGTCGATTTCTCTAATCGATCGACACGCGGAGCACTTCACTTTATGCCATTTACCGTTTGATTGCATGCGAACATCATCCAACGTGGCAACTCTAACATGCTATTCGTTAAAATAAGACATTATACTGTGTCCTCTTTCTAACGAATTCATTTTTGGCTGCATTCCAAGCAACGTAGGCACGCTCATCCGCGGCTTAAGCACATGCAGAAGTGTGCTGAGATCCGTACTTGTGAAACTTTATAAATGATATCCCAAATGAGGAAGCGTGTTCAAACCCGTACATGTTAGGCACGCCGCACGGGAACCTTGTGTGGAAGTGTGCTGGGATCCTTACTTGCTGAACTTCAAAAACTTGGCACTGCTGGGAATCTTGTAAGGAAGTGTGTTGGGATCCGTACTTGTTAAACTTCATAAACGAATAACGATAGGCACGCCCATCAAGGAACCCTGTGCGGAAGTGTGCAGGGAACCTCACTTGTTGAACTTCAGAAATGTGTCGTGAATCTTGTGCCGAAGTATGTCGGGATCCGCACTTGTTAAACTTCATAAACGAATAACGACAGGCACGCGCATCAGGGAACCCTTTGCGGAAGTGTGCTGGGATCCGTACTTGTTAAACTTCAATTTCATATTTGTGACGAACAATGTGTCATGATTGCATCCTTGTTGGATAATTATACTAGAGGACGTAGAGTAGCGACAGGCACGCCCATCCGGGATGCCTGTGCGATAGTGTGTCGGGAGCCACACTTGGCAAACTTCAAGTTTGTGAATGTGATGAGCAAGTTGTCATGTTTGAATCCTTGTTGGATAATAATATTTATTTCTTTTATGCGTGAGTTGTACATGCATGGCTATCGTCTCGTCCGAGGTGGTTGTCTGGATGTTATAGAGATTCAGACTTCTTTAGAAGTACAAACAGTAACTGTTATTTTTGACATACAATTTATTTTTCCCGGTCAAGAACGCAAAATTGTCGGTCACATGTAATTCTGGCGGTCACAAGTACATGATTCTCTATGCGCACAAGAGACGTGATGTCACTGGTCTTTCACTCTTTGCATAACGGAACTCACACCCACATACTCGCCGAGATTTGTCTTGCATCCACACTCCAATTCGTCATGTCGCATCACACACACGAATATCATTTCGAGGTGAATTATATGCACAACCTTGGATGACTTGGACACAATTTGCAACGAGGACTGCAATGTGATGAATGTAATGACACATCAAACGAGCCAGACCTGACAGAGATTCCGAAAGCAATACGCGACACCAAACTGGCAGTGAACATAACAAAGACAACTCAAACCCGCAACACAGATAGAAAGTAATGTCGTTGTGAAAGCGACAGTTAAAATATGAAATATTATGAAACAGAAGTTTGCAAATCAATCGAATCCATCAAAGACAACGACATTCCAAGACACATGATGCCAGTTGTCGTCTAATATACACAATATTTTTACAAAAGAACCTGAAAGGCCGTCGATCGCCACGTTGCAACAGTATCGCAAACATCAACATAAACACCCCGCAACTAACTCCATCCACTTTTCTTGGAATTCCCTCTATAACAACATTTGCTGCCACCGACTTCCAGCGCCTGCACGAGCGCCTATGTGATGTTTGACATTCCAAATAGTGTACAATCAACTCGAAAACACTAAGGTAAAAACTAGAATTGGCTACAACGCAAGGAAAAGAATCGAAAATCTCAAGAACATTATCTCTCAAGCTCACGGAAAGGAGGATTCAGTGATCATTATCTTTGAGAACTGGAACAAAGATAATATCATATTCAAGCAGATCCACGTTTTTAGCCCATCTTTCCACCCCGCCGTGCCCTTGAAGTTGCAGTCTCCTCCGCTGGCGATGGTCGGCGGCAGCATCGGAGAGCTCGTCGGCGAGAAATCGACGACAGATCCCCCAAAAGGCTTGACGTCGAGAGGGTCATCGACACCAGGCGTGGAGGACGGTTGCGCGGACATGTGGTGGTCGCCCAGGATGTCGTCGATAACTTCTTCGATGTCAATACGCACACTCGGTTTGGTCAGGCTGACTGCTACATGAGCTTCGTTGAACCGATGTTGGAGATCGACGACAGACGTCATTGCTTGGACCTCATAGTCATCACGTTCTACCGAAAGGCTTGTGACCACGTGTGTCTCCATACCCAGTGCCGTGTCATCGTCGTCGTCGTCTTCCTCGTGGTGTTCTCCGTACAGCTGCCCGAATCCGTCATAAGACTCCCCAGATCTGTCATCGTCGTCGCTGAAAGTCCRTTCGTCGTCTCCTGTATCGAGTTCACCTTTTTCCCCCTCCTGCCCTCCTAGCAACCCAGCCAACTCCGTTTCTTCCCCTTCCTCTCCTTCATCCTCTTCTTCCTCCCCTTCATCCCCTCCTTCCTCCAATTCCTCCCCTGTGTCTCCTTCCTCCACTTCCTTCTCTTTGTCCATCACCCTGCCTTCTTCCCCTGCATGCAATGCAGCCACTTTGCCCGAACCCGTGTCGATTTCCGATGAATGTGCTTCCCGCCCGCCCCACGCAGCCCCTCCCGCCTGCACTAATATCCCTGGTTGGCCCCCCTTGCCTGAAGATGTTCGGATCCCGGCGAACTTCGCCTACTCCCTGTCGCTGGGCCCTCCACACACCTTGCCTGAAGAAGTTCGGATCCCGGCGAACTTCGCCGTCTCCCTGTCACCGGACCCTCCACACGCCTTGCCTGGAGAAGTTCGGATCCCGGCGAACGTCGTTGTCTCCCTGTTGCTGGGCCCTCCACACGCACCCTCTCGCTCCGACCGAAGCGCCCCCGCAGGTGGCGAAGTCCCGTCCCTCACCGCACCGCTGTCTATTTTGGGATGACGACTCGCCACCCGCGGTCCTGACCAGCTCTGCGCGTCCGTCCTCTATGTCCGCTCTGCAAGCATTGAAGTTCGGATCCCCACGGACTTGAACGTTTCGACCGAGCCGGCACGGAGAGCAACCAAGGCCGCCATCACCGAGCAGGCGGATGAACTGGGCACGTCCTCCGACTGTGCCGAGCATTCCCGACCGGGCCCGGTAGACTGCTGACGCCCGAGGGCCTCCCCCGCCACCCCGCCGCTGCCTTCCGCTGTCGTGGTGTCGCCCTGAGACCCGCCCTCAGCCTCGTCGCCCTCGTGTTGTCGCCCCAGGATTTGTTTGCCGCCCCCAGCCTCGTCGCCCTCGTTCTCCCCACCGTCCGGTCCCCCGAACCTTGTACTTACATGCGTCCCACTAGGAGGGGGGATTTTCCAGTCCACCCTTCCTTTCGAGGGGCTCGTGTCGAGGTCGTAGTAGTCCTCCGTCAGCTCCAACCAGCACTTTTCCTGAAGTTCAGCGAACAATCGCCCGGCTGTGGAAATGACGGACACGTCTTCGCCTGCGAAAGAGCCATTCTCGGCCCTCACTTTCTGGAGAACCGCAATTCTAGTGACGTCGAGGAAGTTAGACTTCGACCCGCGAGGGAGTGGCATCCATCCTCCATTCGGGACAGTGACCGCCACGATCCACTCACCCTTTTGGATCGCGGTTGGACGACTCCTGGATGCCAAATCATGTCATGGCCCCAGTCCGCCTCCGTGGAACGACTTTGAGGCTCAGGCAGGAAGTGAATGTTGGCATTCGTCCAAGACTGATGATAGAGCGGGATGTCAGACCCGGGACGCAGTGAGCGATGGCCAGAGGCCAGAGCTTGTATTCTCTGCAGCAACTTCATTGGGGTAGTGCCAGGCGCCGGTTTCGCCATCGGTGACATGAGGGACGCTCGGCTTGTCGACGGACCTGCCAAGGACGACCCTGTAGCGTGCTGCGCGGAATGTTGGTCGTACTGCAGGTCGAGGCTTTCAGTGTTGCTGCCCTCCTCGTCCACGGTCGCGTCGAACTCGATGTCGGTGGTCTCCTCGTCTTCTGTGGAGATCAAGGAGGAGTAACTGTCGAACGTCAGCTCCTCCTCTGACTCCACGAAGTAAAGGGACTGCAACCTCTCGAGGAAGGTCTTCGCGTTCATGCGGGAGGCGCCGTGGTAGTTGTCGAGCAACGTGAACATGTGGTCCTTGCAGCGCACGTACTCGGCGACGGTGTCTCTCTTCGGCCGCGTTTGCAAGAACAAGAAGTCGTATATCTTGTTCCGCTTCCTCGCACTCAACTTGAACCACATGTCCGTTTTGTTGTTCCACGCACGAGCCCGAGTCTCGGTGACGACCATGAACTCACAATTGTGGGCACCCGAATTGACCTCGCTTTTGACGAGATCAATTGTAAATTGCAAGAGCTCGGAGTTCCCTTCCATCGCGATGACGTGCCGTCCTGCCTTCAGTACTTCCCAGACTGACCGCACGTGTGGCTTCCCGAGGAAGACGACACCCTCCCCCTTCTTGGTGACGGATTCGAGAAGCTAAACGAATTGGGCGGGGTTGCGTTCCATGTCCCCGTACACAATGCCCCGGCGTGCAGGCGAGGTATGCGACCAGTCGCAAGTGTTGAACGGGATGTCGGACACATCCGTTTGCGTAACCTTCTGCGGTACCCGCACTGCAGCAGCGGCGCCTGCCGGCAGTTTCCCCTCGTAGACGACGAACGTGTTGGCCCGCAAATCGTCGCTTTTGAAGAGTATGTACATCCGGTCGTCTTCCGTGTACAAATTGTTCCCGGCGGGGAAGCTTTTCTTCTGTTGACTCCTCCTCACCCACTTCCCTTCCAACAGCTTGACAAAAGATAGATGGTTCATGCTGGCCAGAAAGGAGAGGTTCTGCTGCCGCGGGACAAAAACAACGAGCATCCATTGCGACGGACACCACGTCTGGAGTTGGGAATCCAGAGTGTCGAACGCTTGCGGTTTCCAAAGCTTTAGGTCCACCGGTTCGCACTGATCGAGGACAACCGTGTGACTCTTTGTGGCAACCACTGCCTCCTTCAACTCTGCACTCCTTATGTCTGCCTCCAAGGGGTCGTTGCCGAATGGCGCGATGGATGTCACGTCGCCCGTGTCATTCCATTTTATGTGCACAATGCCTTCGGCGAGCGCGATCTCTCGACTCTTCAGTCTACTGCCAGTTAACACGGACAGGACCTTATTCCTCTAGTCGACGGACAGCTTCTTGTGATCGGCCAGCTTCTCCGTCGCCTCGATCGATCTGTCGTCGTCGCAGCCCATGTAGGGCGGGCAGTCCTTGAACAACGAGGAGTCAGTGACGTATTTCGCGCTCTCGTCCCACAACTCAGCATCCAAACCACGACTCTCAAACTGTCTGAAAATTGCATACCTTGATTTCAGGAACGGGAACCTCTGGCTCCAATCCGCGTCCGGCCTTTTGTCGTGCTTGAACTGGTAGTAGTTCCACAGACGCACCAGCACCCGATCGCACTTCACCAAATTCACCACCTCCTGGACATTCAGCTTTCCGAGCTTCGCCAACGCTGGGGAGCTGGCCTGTACCCAAACCACCTCGTAAGCGAGCACCTTCTTCAGGACGCGGCTTTTCTCGTTGTCTGTTAGCGACTCCATCATTTTCCAACAATGCGCGTCTGGCTCTGGCACTTGCACGAACCACTCGCCCTCCTCTTTCTCCTTTTTGCCTTTCTTTGTTGCCGGGTCCACAGGGACGTTGTACACGACCTCCTTCCTGCCCAGCTTGTCATTATGGATGTATGCAACCCCAGGCTTCACGTTTTTGACTTTCTTCTTCCGCATGATCCACTTTGTGCCGTCGTGTCCGAGCAATCTGTCTGTCTCCCATTTCTTGAAAAAATCGACGACCAGTTTCCAGACGTTCTTCCCTGCCATCGCAAGCGGGAAATAGGAACGCAAGGCAGCGGCTTGTTTCCTGATGGCCTCCTCGCCCTGCTGATCTGCGAGAATCCACAAGCTGCTGTGCGGTGTCATGTTGAGTGCGACATTACAAAATTCACGCCACTTCCGGACCTGATCCTTTTTTCCGATGGGGTTCCCCATAACAGCACGCGGGCAACCAGCGTGCTTCCACTGCCACCTAATGTCCCTCATTGACAGCTTCAGCTGTCGTGGGGGCGCCTTCAGGTCCTTCTTGTTGTCCTGGGAACTGACAAGGAAGTACCCTTCGAAGTCGTCGTCCGAAATGTAGACCATTCGTGCAGGCCACCGCTCGAAATTGTATTTCCTGGCCACCTCGCTGCCGAGCAACGACCTCGCTGCAGCCGCGTTGTGCTGCCCACACACCGCGTAGTAGTAGTATTGTCCCGCCAGCTCATCCCACCAATCCTCCGGTCTCAGACGTTCTGCCTTGGTCCCGGGAGTCGGTTTATCAAGCCCCGGCGGCGCCAGTTTCAAGGTTTTTAAATCGTAAGACTGTGCTTTGTTTTCGAACGCCAACCGCATCGCTTCTTTGATCCTTTCCACGAGCACGAGATCCAGGGACCGCTGGTTGTACAGGTCCTCCCAGTCCCCGAGGTCGACGACCTGCGGAGGGCTAATGTCGAAGTCCCGCTTTGTCCGAACGCCGTCTTTGTACTCGAGGAAGTACCCGGCGTCGACGTCGATGGGAGTCCCTGTTGTCGGTGGAGAAGACAGTCTAGACTCAGGCTGCTTCTGTCTCGAAGACGGTCGTTTGGCAACCTGATGGCCCTGCTCCCCCTCAGTCCCCTTGCGTTTCTCGCCCGCAGTCCTGGGGGCCTTGCTCTTTAACTTCTTCATAGAACAGGCGAACTCGTCTGGACGATCCCCCCTCCTCTTTTGCGGAGCTCCTTGCGAGCTCAGGCCTCCCGCATCCACCTCCTCCACACCCTGTCCCTTGCTCACCTCCAAGTTGACCTCGAAATAGGCCGCCACCTGTACTGCAGGCCCTGTACTCTTACGCTGAACCGGAGCATCAGTCTGAACCCCAGGAATAGACAACACAGACCGCCGCGTGTCACTCAACCGCGGAGCAGTCCCCTTATCCTCGCTGTCGTTGAACTGACCTCGGCTCTCGCCGCGGTGCAGCTGAGTGGCGGGACCAGAACCCGGATCACTGCCCTGCACTGCTGCCCCGCTTGACTCGCAACCGCTGCACAACTTCAACGGCAACGACAGCTCCAGGGATGGGTTGACGTCGCAGGGGACGTCTAGAGCGATGTTTTTGTCCTCCAACATGTCGAAAAATTCACGCGCCAAAACAAAACCGCCCCCGAGAACGAGTTCTCTGTAGAACGGGGTGTTCACAGCACCCGCTCTGAACCCCTCACACAATTCGAGGTCCAACAACGTCCCTTTCGAATTGGCAACGACGTTGCCCTTGGCACCACAAACTTCTGCATATAGAAATGTCGCTGGCCCCCCTTTGCGTCCTCCCACCGTAAGACGACACCAAGCACTCTACGCCTTCTGCTGTCATCGATGAAGATGACAGGACCACATGGCTGCGGAGTGGGGTTGGAAGTGTCTCCACAGCACGAGTCGATGAACCATTTCGACCTTGAATGGTTCGACCACCCCTGCGTGGCAGTAGACGACCGCATCGTGGAATCTTTTCGTGACTCCTTCCCGGAGGTCCCTTTTGGCTCCACCTTGCCCTTGGAAGAAGACATACTGTCTGCGAACGACAACGCAAAGTGAACAGCACACCATGAAGTCAACGTCTGTCAAGACACAGGAGAAATAGAGCACTCGCTGCAGCACGTCAATGCAGGCTGTAGCGCAGCGAAAGCCGCACACAAAGACATCCGGGCACCCAAATCCGAAACGGTGAGAAGGGGTAGTCCGCCGGGATCCGAACTTCAAGTGGGCAAGAGACCGAGAGGCAGACAGAGAGAGAGAAGCAAGTGAAAACTCGCAGTGCGCATGGGATCACGCACTGTTTATGCGGCACACGGGGCGCCCCGTAGAACAAAGATAGACAAACGCACAGTGAAAATCGCGAAGTCCGCCGGGATCCGAACTAAAGGACGGTGCGTGAGATAGAGACGGCGGAAGCAAATTTCGGGAATTTTTCACAGGAATCAACTGGCGGTCATGCTCGAAGCTCTCCGGGTGAGATAGAGCCAGCATCCCAGAACTGTGCTCGACCAAACGCACTTCGGAACCGTTGCCGGGCGGGTTGTGCAACCCACCCGGAACCACAAAGACTCACGACAAAGCAACGCACCTCCCGAAACGTGAAGTTCGCCGGGATCCGAACTCCAGGACGGTGCGACAGGCAGAAACAGCGTCAGGGACACACGATCCGCAAGTCTAAGGTTGTTGAACTCAACCCCGACCTAGGAAGGCCACACCGGAATGAAAGGCTGGTTGAAATGGAAAAGTCTGCCCTAATCCGAACAACTTCTGATTTACGATCTCGCCTTATGCACAGCTTGGCACTGGATGAACCCAAGCTCGAAAGCGACAGCCGTGTCAACATTTCATAGGTCCTTAGACTCTGGCTGTTGCCGGAATCCACGAGGGATCCGGAACACCACCGTGTGTGGCAATAGGCAGGCGACTCCTGAAGTTCGCCAGGATCCGAACTTCAGGAGGACGCACGAAAGAGAGACAGAAAGAAACATTGGAGCAACTCCGAGTCCAAACGCAAGACGGTGTTCGACCAAGGCGCACGAGAAAAAAACCCGGGGTTCCACAGCCGACCGCAGGTTTCGATGGCAGCAGTCATTGAGTCCAGGCGTAATTGGTAGCAGGACCGTTTCCGACTCCGGTCAGCACTCGAAGCTCGGAGGCCGGTATGACGCACAGGCCAAACCGCGAAGTTCGCCGGAATCCGAACTTCAAGAGGGCGCGACACGGAAAGAGACGACGTGCACTAGCAACTGCTGCCTCCCGCGCCTTTCTCCACTACTAAAACTCTGCTATGTTCGGCAGCACACATGCCTCTCAATCGTCTCCCTTCTTTTCGCTTAAGCAGGATGTCCAACCACACGTCCAGATCTTGTGACAATCGCGGTTCCCCGGGGACAAGGTCCCGAACCGTAGCCATACAAAGCATTCATTCACGATCCGTAAACGCGGACCAACGGATCGTCGACCGTTGCAGTTTCCGAAAAGACGGATATGTATTTCATCCTAACAAACACTCTCGGTCGTGCTAAGGAGTTCCCTATACAGTCCCGTATGGGGGACACTTTCCCCTCGACCTCCCTATGCAACAAAAAGTTTTGGACCGTCCCTGCTATAACCAAATCTCGCCACCTATCTACACGTTCAGGCCTGCACGTCGGCACAAATTTGGACCCCTCAATTACCACCTCGTTGCGTGATACAAGCACAACTGCATCGACGAGTTTCCTGCTCTTGTTCGACACAGCGACACATAGAACTCTGGCGAAATCAGACCCGGACACTTTCAATCGCACACAACAGTATGACACAACTTGTGGAGAATTCCCGGGGCACCGGAGCGGGTACTGGTCCAGGAACGAGCAGTGACGAGCGCAATCCAGCAACTCTTGTTTCCGCGAGCCTCCCCAAGTTCGTGGCGACGACCTGACGTAGTGGCATTCGAGGCGGCTGAAATGGCGGCTAATGCAGTCCAGCGCTCTGCGCATGTGGTTCAGGAACTTGTGTCCGAGGACAGCTTCAGACAGCGGGATGAGGTTCCAAAACTTCAACATGTTGGCGAATTTGTACTGGCTTGCCCAAGGGCAGCGACTCTCCATTGTGGCCCAGTTCCCATCGCACCAATCGTCAATATGCGCGTCCCTGCATGGGACGACGGTCATCCAGGGATCCTTGTCGAAGTCCTCTGCGGTCGCTCCGTGGATCGTAGTCACACCGTTGAAATGCCGCACTGATCTCGCGCAAGGAGAAAACGGTTCTGCCAAGCGAATGTGCGTTTCGGGACTCATGGTTTGTGGTGTCGAGAAGATCAACTCAAAGATTCGCGGTGTCGAGAAGGTCCCATCCATTACGCGCACTACACACCTCGCGCACAAACCAAACGACACACACGGGGGCGCTGACACTTGTAAACATAGTTGGCGAGCAATCAAACGACATAGGTCCCTCGCTGTGGTTGTGCACTGGGGTTGGAACGCGAGTTGGGTTTTACGAAAGGCAAGAACCTGAAGTTTGCTGGGATCCGAACTTGGCGAAATGTCGTGGGAGAGACGCAGCTGTCTATCAAACTCGCCTTTCCATTCTTTCTTGAAGTTCGGATCCCAGCGGACCTCACATTTTCACAGGTCCACTGCTGTGGTTTTGCACTGGGGTTGCAACTCGAGTTGGGTTTTACAAAAGGCAAGAACCTGAAGTTCGCTGGGATTCGTACTTGGCGAAATGTCGTGGGAGAGAAATAGTTGTCTGTCAAACTCGCCTTTCCATTCTTTCTTGAAGTTCAGATCCCGGCGTACTTCACATTTTCACAGGTCTACTGCTGTTGTTGTGCACTCGGGTTGCAACTCGAGTTGGGTTTTACGAAAGGCAAGAACCTGAAGTTCGTCGGGATCCGTACTTGGCGAAATGTCGTGGGAGAGAAACAGTTGTCTGTCAAACTCGCCTTTCCATTGTTTCTTGAAGTTCAGATTCCAGCGGACTTCACATTTTCACAGGTCCACTGCTGTGGTTGTGCACTGGGGTGGCAACTCGAGTTGGGTTTTACAAAAGGCAAAAACCTGAAGTTCGTCGGGATCCGTATTTGGCGAAATGCGGTGGGAGAGAAACAGCTGTCTATCAAACTCGCCTTTCCCTTCTTTCTTGAAGTTCGGATTCCAGCGGACTTCACATTTTCCCAGGTCCACCGCCGTGGTTGCCCGCTGGGGTTGCACCGCGTGTTGGGTCTTGAGGAAGGCGTGAACCAGAGGTCCACCGGGATCCGAGCTTGGCGAGATTACGTGGGAGAGACACAGATGTCTATCAAACTCGCCTTCACGTGCTTTCTTGAAGTTCGGATCTCGGCGGACTTCACATTTTCACAGGTCCCCCGCTGTCGTGTGGTGGCTGCAAAACGTTCGTCGTGGGATGACCAACAAATTTCGATGACCGACGAGGTTTGCCGTCCAGTGGAGTTCGGTGTCCGCCAACATTTCGATGCCTGCCGAGGTTTGATGGGGCGCCAGGTTCGATGCCAAACAAGGTTCGATGGCCAGCAACGTTCGATGTGCAACATTGTTGTCACGAACTGTCTTTTGTCCATTCCCGAACAGGGATCGACCTTTTTCATGGGTTTCTACCGTCTGGTGGACCAATCGCCTTGCGTGCTGCGTACGACCAATGGACGAGGAGGCAGGTCGAATGCAGTGCAATCTGGGCGAGAAAAGTGAACCGCTCGGCTGGCATGTCGGTGCCCTGGTCGGCGAGCGGCCGATCAATCAGCTAATTAGACAACCACAAACCGAAAAGTCGATCAATCAACTAATCAGTTACTCGTGCTGGATCGGTCGTACGTTTGCTGGATCGGTCGTACGCCTGCCCGCTGGGCGATTGCGTAGAGGGTGATGCCACGGTTGCACCGCAAACATACGTTCGGCTGTATGGTTGGCGGACTGTTGGATCAACCGGTCGTCCGACCGCAGTCCGAACAGTCGTTCAGTGATGTTGGTAGTGATGGATCTATTAACCAGTCTACTATTCGCTCGGGGTACATCAACAAGTGTGATGGATCGGTCGCTCGTCGCCCGGTTGGTCGTTCGCGCACGGTGCCACGTGTGTTTTGTTATTACATTTGATACTGGCGAAAAACACACGCGGTGACAACGTTGAGACAGCACACGCGATCAATCGACCGATCGCGAGCTCTCTGTTCGTGTTCGGCGATTGGTCGACTGGGTGCGTCTACTGTCCCGACAATGTCACCTCCTGCTTTGATTGATCATTCATTCGGCAGATCAGCGGCGGTATCGTGATCAATCGTGATGGTCATGTTCATCACTCACGTGCGGTATCCCCGATGTCACCACTCACGTGTGGATGATTGATCTGATGAGTGGAGAAAGATCCGATCTGCCGCGCGGTTATTATGTTTCGTGATCGGTCGCCTCGCGCTCCATCGAAGCTTTCATCATGCATTAGTTACTCAGCTCATGAAATCTGCCCAATGAACGACCGATCGAAACACACGGTGACAATGTCGAGAGTGATCTGATCGCGCTCCGTCGATCTGACCTGCATATAATCAAGGAATATTATTTATCTTGTGCTCTGGACTGTCTATAATCAATAATGAATACCATGAACTCAATGAATGTTGTCCATCTA